ATTGATTCATCTGAGCTAGGACTTTTTTCGTGGAAAGTATTTTAATGTCCTGCTCAGTTTCTTACTTTGTGATGAATCTGTTGAAATGTTCTACCTCTATTGTGTTAGTTGATGTACTGAGTTTGTAAAACTTTGTCCATTTCTTCTAAGTTTTTAAATTTATAGGAGTATAGATTTCATAGGGTCACTATGAGTCACCTATGACCCGAAGGCACTTAACAACAACAGCAAAGATCTTATTAGTATTCTATTAGTATATTTTGTATATTTATTTGTTCTGTTGTGACATCATCAATTTAGGGTTTTTATTCATGCTGTTCACATCTTTTCCTTTTCCTTTGTTAGATTTTTCTAGGGCTTGTCTGGTTCTATTAATCCTTACAAGGAATCAACTACTAGTCTTGTTGATTTTTTTCCTCTTGTTTTCCTGTTTAACTTATTTCCACTCTTATCATGTCCTTTCTTTTGAAGACTGTAGACTTTGGTTGCGCTTTTAACAGTTGTTAGAGATTATAAGTTAAAAGTGTTAATTTTAGTCCTTTCCTTTTTTTTCTTTTTGTTCAATTTTTGACATAAATTAACCTGTAAGGACTGCTTTTGCTATGTCCCAATGATTTTGGTACATAATGTTTTCACTTTTATCCTTTTAATGATTTATTTTTTTATTTATCTTTTTTTTTTTTTTTTAAATTATCCAGTAAAGGTTTTTCTGGGATTTTTTTTAGCAGGTTGCTATTTCATTATCATTTCCTTGACTTTTCTCCCTTGATCTTCTGTTGTTGATTCCTGTTTCACTCCTGTAATCTGAGAAAATATTTTGTAGTATTTAGATATTTTTGAATTCATTTAAGCCTGTAGTCTATTCTAGAGAATGATCTGTGTGCTCTGGAGCAGAATGTGTATTGTATCCTTTTTAAGTGGATTGTTAAACATGTAACTACAAGATCAAATCAATTAATTTTTGCTGTTTCATTTTTAGATGTCTCTGAGTTTGTGTTTGCTTATCCCACCTGAACAGACAGTGGTCCAGGAAAATGACAAAGTCCCATGAGTTCAATCCTTGGATCTCACTAGGTGATAATAGCCAAACTTAGTTATTTTCCCCCTCCCATTGCTGGTTGAGTAAATTGGTCCTGTATGTACATGCAAAAGCCCAGGGCAGTATAATAGTTTTCATTCTTTCCCGCCCCCCCCCCTTGTTTTGTACCATCAATTTAGATCTTACTGGCACAGGAGGAGATTGCCCATCCTCTAGTGGAGCATTGTGTGGATTCAAACCATGTGCCTTCAGGATTGCAGTGCAAATTCTTGCTACTGGGCCACCAGTATAAGCTTCTTGAGATGGTTCACACTATAATGTATAATGTATAAGACTATATTATTTAAATTAGAATTTGAGGTTTGTTTCATAATTTTGTTAGGATTGTCCTATATAATGAAGGAAATCTTAAAATTGATCATATTGCTAATCATTCTAATCATATTGCTGATAATATTACTGTTAATTATCCATCAGTTTGACGGAAGAATACTATGTAGTACTTTAATGAAGAAAAAAGTTAAAATTTTAATAAATAGGAATGCAGTAAACACTTGGATCCACCATCAACACCCTTGATATTACCAATTAAGAGAAAAAGAGATGTACTGCTTTGGAAAAAATGTTCTGTTAAGGAACTCTTCAGTGTACTAAGGAGCAATGATGTCAGTTTAAAGACCAATGTGTGCCTGATTCAGGCCATGGTCATTTTCAATCCTTTGCAATGCACCTGACAGCTGGACCAGGATGACAAAACAAAACCCAAACCAACCCCAAAACTGATGTCTTTGATTTGTGGTGTTGGAGAAGAGTCCCATGGACTGCCAGGAAAACTCTATTGTCTTGGACAAAGGGCAGCCAGTGTGCTCCTTAGTGGCAAGAATGGTGAAGCTTCTGAAGCTTCTGTCTCACATAGTTTGGATATGTTGTTAGGAAGTGCTGTTTTTGGCAAAAGACATCATGCTGTGAAAGGTGGAGGATCAGCAAATGAGAGGAAGACCTTCTGTGAGTTGGCTTTACACAGTGACTGTGCAATAAGCTTAAATATAAGAGCGATTATGAGGGTGGCATAGAATAGGACAAGATCATTTGTTCATAGGGTCACTGTGAGTCTCATTTGACTCAAGAACACTTAACAACAACATTCTGGCCCAAGGAACTCTGGTGGCCTAGCGGTATAGGGTTGTACTGCTGCCAGCTCAAAGCATGTCATTCAAGTCCACCAGCTGATCTGCAAGAGAAAGATGAGCAGCCTCTTCCCATATGATTTACAGCCTCCGAAAACTCTCTGGATTGTCAGCTCTGAGTCCATTCTGACTTAATGGTATGTAACAATATTCTGGTCCTCATTAAATTATTTTCAAATTTTGACATGGCAAACTAAAAATTGTAGAGAAATAAAAAGGGAAATAATCATTAATATTAAAGGTGCCAAAGAAGCCTAAATATTTTTATTATGGTCATTAGACATCACAGGCAACTGAACCAATAACATTCTGTGACAGGTTTGGAAGCAAAAATGGCATCCACTTCCTAATCAACTTGCCTCTAGAAACTCTATGAACTTTGATAAATCTCAATAGTTGCACAAGGACTTCAGGCCTTTTGTTCATAGGGTCACTATGAGTCGTGCTCAACTCAATGACAAACAGCAACAAATTAAAAGAACAAAGAAAACTAAAATGTTATTCTGTAGGACAATGATTATGTAGTCTTTTGTATGTTAGGAATTATAACCTGAGAAGCTCAGAAGATCATTTCCATGAACCAGACTCTAATTGAAGGCAGTGGATTTCTTTGGTTTTTTTAATGTGCTCTAGAAAGTATTTGTCTTAATAGGTTGGCTTAAATTTGGCCTGAAAATTGGCTAAGATTTCGAAAAGACTTTTCTACCATATATGGTCTTTAATTATCAGGAGGTCTGTTGATAATTTAGCTCTACATTTAATCCCAGTAACATTCTTTGTGAAAATTTTTTGCTTCAATTTTAAATGTCTAGACTTCTTGAGAAGAGCTGAAATTTCAATCTCAACTCTTGAGGACCTTTGAATTGGGTTTTTGAGCATAAATCTTGCAACTCTTAAGTATTTTTTTCATGTACTGTGTTACATCTCCACAATCAGCTCCTGGCCTAGTTTTCAGCTGATAATTGAGCTTCTCCAACGGTTTTTTCCACATATGTAATCAATCTGATTCCTATGCATACCATCAGGTGAAATCCATGTATATAATCTGCATTTATGTCTCTTAAAAAACGTATTTGCAATGAATAAGTCATTGATTATGCAAAATTCAATCATTCTCTCTCCAGCTCCATTTCTGTCAATGAGTCCATGTTTTCCAACTACTGAATCTTCTTCTCTGTTCCCAACTTTTGCATTCCAGTCACCCATTATTATCACTGCATCTTGATTGCATGTTTGATCGATCTCCGACTGTAGAAGTTAGTAAAAATCTTCTATTTCCTCTTCCTTCACTCTGGTTGTTGGTGCATATATCTGAATGATAGTGGTATTCACTGGCCCTCAGTGTATGCATTAGATGTTATCCTGTCACTCACAATATTGTATTTCAAGATGGATCTAACAATGGCTTTCTTAACTATGAAAGCAACTCCAATTTTCCTCACCTTTTCATCTCCAGCATAATATATCATGTGATCATCCAACTCAAAATGCCCCATGCCAGTCCATCTCATCTCCCCAGTGCCTAGTATGTCAATATTTATGCGTTCCATTTCTTTTTTTAACAATATCTAATTTTCCAACATTCATGGTTCTCACATTCCATGTCCCAATCACTAGTGCCTGCTTACAACTGTTCCTCTTCCTTTGTATTTCCATACCTGAAAGCTCAGCCTCAGTTGCCTTTTCTGTTATCTACATGTGTTCTGTTGTACATAGGGTTTTCGGAGGCCTGCTATTTCAGAAGTGGATGGCCAATCCTTCTTCCTAGTCTGTCTTAATCTGAGTATTCAGATTGAGAGAAGTATCAAACAGACCAGCATTTTACAGAAAACTGAAAGATAGACCCCTTATTGTGGAATTAATCATTCGTATCAGTGTTGTCCCTGCCCTTGGCACACGTGTCTTTACCCACTTATTTCCCTGCTCCACCATCCACCAGGATATCCATCCACTTTTACCCACTCCCTTCAATATCCATCTCCCATTGTCCCGCCCTTGATCAGATAGTTTATATGTGAAGCTTCCTTGGCTTCTGTGATTCCAAATACGTCTCCTTCTGACAGTTTCTTATTCTGTGACCAGTGTCTCTTAAGTTCAGTGGCAGTGCTTTCCGAGCAGAGCTGATTAGAGAAGAGTATTGAGAGTACCATGAACTGCTAGGAAAACAAACAGATTCATCCTGGAAAGGGTAAAACCGGGCTGCTCCTTGGAGGCAAGGATTCTGAGGCTCCGTCTAACATACTTTGGCCATGTTGTAAGGAGGGACCAGTCCTTGGAGAGGGACATCATGCTTGGTAGGCTGGAGGGACAGCGCAAGAGCGGAAGGCCCTCTATCAAGTGGATTGATTCAGTGACTGGGGTAATTAGGATGGGTATATTGGAGACAGTGCAATTGACACAGGACAGAGCAGAGTTTAGGGCTATTGTACATAGGGTCACCATGAGTCGCAGGCGACTTGACAGCACGTAACAACAACAGTGTTACAACTCCATAAAATAGGAAGAAACTGAAGAGAAAGAAAATAATTTGGTCATTATTAAATTGTTTACAAATGAATAGTTTATTCTGATTCCACATTCAGTGCATATTCCAATATTCCACACTCACCATTATTGTAAAATGCTTAGTCAGAGTGCCCAATGGTATGCCAATAATCTTATTCCTAAAGTGGTTATTCATATGTAATTTATAATGATTGTTCTTTGGTTTTTAATGTACTTAAACAAAAAATCTCTTACAATATAGTATTTGTCCACTTTCTCTTTCTTTTCAGGCCTGTATGTGGAATCAGAGGGAAAACTCTAATAATTAATCTACCAGGTAGCAAGAAAGGATCTCAGGTAAGGAATCTTCAGATTTATACATTTTATTAAAAACAACACATTAATAATGTTGGAGTAGTTAACAAAACTATCCTTACTTGAGATACCAGTTGAAAGTGTGAGAAGTTCTTAAAATTAGTCTGAATGATTAGTATTTCCATGATTATTTCCGTAGATTAATAGAGCTCCTTCACTGAAAGTTGCTATGCTTGGTTGCAGGAAATGGATAAAGATTAAAATTAGCCAAGAGAAGAAGCATGTAAAGCAGACTCTAGGAGAAGTGCAACATACAAAAACGTCCATTGTCCTCTCTCTATCACATTCCTGTCCTGGTATTGTTGACAGCCAGAGAAAGTCACTCAAGCCTTTAGTATTAAAAGAGTTTATATTGTTACTTAATCATATACTGTTGACATGGTTGACTTGTAGCTTCCAGCCCTTCCTTGAGACTGAACTAATAATGCCTTTAGTTTCTCACTTCTTGTAGTGCATGGCTTGCCCAAAACTAGCATAGTAATAAATCATACTGTTCAGTTGTCAGATAGCCAAAGTCTCTAGACATAGAAAGATACTCCAGTCATAACACTAGAAAGACTGTAGAGACCACTTAGAGAGCAGACCTTTAGGTATGGTTAGCTTTTCACTGCATAACGTTCATTATGGCTCCTTCCTTTTAATTCATTGCTCTTAGTTTCTTTGATAACAAAGTCTAACTGAAACCCTTTTCGAAAAATAACGTGTTAAATTTAAAAAAATAACATAAGATCATGTTTTTAAGTCTTTATATCTGTCTGTGGTTGGTTATAATGTGAAATAAAGTGTGTTTGAAATGCAGTGTTTACCATTTATAGTGTTTATTTCCTTTTTGAAATTTACTTGGAGAAACATGCCATTAATAATGAAGGCTTGTTGACTACTAAATTCTTTTCAGTATAATTTTTATATTTTTAAAAATACCTCAAATGTTTGTACTTTTCTAAATATTATTGTTGTTGTTAAGTACAGCCTAATCAAATATGACTCAGAGTGACCCTATGAACAATAGATTTGAACTCTATTCTATCCTGCACTATCCTTATTATCCTCAGCACATATGAGCCTATTGCTGCAGGTACTGTATCAGTCTACCTTTTAGAGAGTCTTCCTCTCCTTTGCTGACCTTCCACCTTCCCAAATATGATGTACCTTTCCAAGAATAACCTTATATCTTGTCCATGTTTGCCCCAATGAACTGACATCAAATGTTATTACCATTTTAAATTTCTTCTTAATTGTCAGAATAATGGTATTGTAAAGAAAATTTTAAGACACATTTTTAATTCTAATTTTATTTTGTTGAGAAGATGGATATTGATTACAAATCCAAAATGAGTGCTCTACTGGCCTAGGGGTAAGGAATAACACTACTAATCCAAAGGCACATGGTTCGAACCCACCAGCTGCTCCATAGGAGAAAGATGGGCAGTCACCTCTTGTGAGTTATAGCCTCTGAAAACCTGCTGGAGAGTCAGCTCTGAGTGTTGCCTACTCATTGGCATACACAACAACAAAAACAACAATTCAGAATACAACTCATTCTTGCAAAAGTCTTTTTGGTTGAGAAAATTAAAAATGAGAGAAAAAAAATAATCAAACTATTGCTATTGTGTTATAGGCCATCGAATCAGAACTGTAAATTGTGCTGGAGAAGATTTTCCTACTTTCTCCAGTGTAGAATCTAGTGTATTCAAACCTTTTTCCTTGGCTTTGGCAGCACAATTCCTTATCCCCCTGGTCACCTAATTTTTTCAGTGTCTCTGCAAAAACAGATGTGTTAATTTAAAACTGTACAAATAAAATATCCAATCAGTCATAGAAATTACTTTGTAAAAATTTATCAAATCCTTTCCTAACATTTCCCAGAGATAATATTATATGATAATTCCTCAATTCCCAAAATATTATTATGAGTTCTGTAGAGATGTAGATATGTATTGTTTTGTTTGTGGTGATGGTGACTGGTTGCTAGAACTAATTTTATCAGATTTGTACTGTTGTTGTTGTTGTTGTTGTTATTGTTACGTGCTGTTGAGTTGACTGCAACCATCAGAAATCAGTATTTCTTTTTAATGGACTTCTAAAACTAGAATTTATATTAAAGATATAATGAAAAAGATACAATCAAAGTAATCCATTCACTTCCTACTCACTGTAACGAAACTGGACCAGAATCTCACCTTATGTCCTACTCAGAAGTCATTTCATACTTGACCAACACTATTTGAATAAAAAGACATTGGTTTAGTTTATCTAATCATAAGCATTGATTTACATTTTCAAATGGAAAAAGTTAAGTGTGGGTAGCTTTATTTTTTAAAAATAATTTAGTAGATTAACAACCAAAAACTAAATTATAAGCTATGCATAATAACAGATCCTGATTCTTCCTTTACATATTTTTTTTATTCACAACACTCCTAGAAATCTCTTCGTAAGAAATGTAATGCTGAAAGACCAATTACATCTTTTATGCATTTGGAAAAATGGCCATTCTACCCAGAAGGAAGAATTTTTTGTTCATATAATATCTCTTTCTGCTTGATTCTCATTCTCTCTCTCACTATTTATAAATGTAGAGCCAGTTTCAGAGTATAACAGAAATGTGCAGATTTCTTATCTGTGTGATCCTTAGGACTACCTCCTTACATACTCTTGCATTCCTTTAGGAACTAGTGATGCTTTGGTTAACAGTTCAACACTTAATCTGCTATGCCTTCAGGGTTCCTTAGTAGTATAAATATTTTCAATGTGCAAATTTTATACAATCTTTTTTTAAAAAATGATCCTTTTTAATAAATAAGTTGACTGAATCATAAGGCAAAGGAAGACCATATACTACTGCTTTTGAATCTCTTTTCATCCATATTATCCCTTTCTACCTCTTGCTTCTTCCTAGAAATTTACTTAATTGACATTTACTTGGCTTATTTGTCATCTGTAGTTTGTCGGTTATTATACTGACATCCCATGTTTTCATGGTCTCAGTAGTTTGTCTAAATTAATAATTGGATCTGGAATATTTATTAGATTAACTAATACAGATTCAATTTCATAAATTAACACCATTCTATCTTCCTAGGAAAATGATTCATCGTTTTTTTTCCTTTTCCTTCTTTTTGCATACAGGAATGCTTTCAGTTCATAGTGCCAGCTCTACCTCATGCCATTGACCTTTTACGTGATGCCATTGTAAAAGTAAAGGAGGTGCATGATGAACTTGAAGACTTACCTTCCCCACCACCTCCTCTTTCCCCTCCTCCCACAACCAGTCCTCATAAACAGACAGAAGATAAAGGAGTTCAGTGTGAGGAAGAAGAAGAAGAGAAGAAAGACAGTGGTGTTGCTTCAACAGAAGACAGTTCTTCATCACATATAACTGCAGCAGCCATTGCTGCCAAGGTAAGCCTCCTGGCAGGGAGCCATAGTGCAAAGGATCCATCAGAAAATGTGCTAGCAGCTTGTCTCTTTCCATCCTCTCCCTCCATAAGTTTAATACTTCTTTAGAGTATGCTGGGGGAGGGGAAAAATAAGATATTCCTGACAATCCACCACAGTATTTTCTGTACTCTGTAAATCATTAAAGATATTTACATTTATTCCATTATCTATTTAAGTAAGAGTTGCAGTGATAAACAGGGTGGCATTTAAAATTCTTCAGTTATCATTTTTGTCATTATATTAAGTATGCAGTGTTCACATGTTCAGTATATTAAAAATTCACAGATTCTTATAGGAGCAGCAAACTGAGCTAGAAATTGGAAATAATTAACAAAATTATTTTTTAAAGATAATACTCAGCAGTTGTTGAATTTTCGTTAACTAAGCACTTACTTAAATATTGCATAAAAAGATTATACAAGTGATATAGAGAGCAATTGGGTAGATTTTCAATTTTAATTGAATAAAGTAATAAATATTGATAAGAGTACTAAAATATTAACGATTTAATTTGGGGAAATTCTATGAATAGGAGAATAATATTAATAACTTGAATAAATTATTTTCTTCAAGTCACAGAACATGATTCACATAATCATCCACAGAGAATATAATCTACGTCATACATTTTAAATCTTTAGAAATAGCTTTTTACTTCTGGGAATAATGATTGTTCATTGACTGAGAGCATGAAAAGAAAAAAAGTTAGTCACCATAGGTAGTAATTCTAATTAATTTTATTAATCAATGATAGTTTAAGCTAAGACATAATGTCAAACTTTTTTTGCCACATGTAATTAAAAGCTACATGTATAAACTATATTAGAAAAACCCTTTTAGCAATCAGTAGGTAATAATTTCACTAAAGAATTGATATTTCTGTTTTCAAATACTTTCAGTGATCCATTAAGTTCTTATTTAAGCCTAGTAAGTATTTAAGGAAAGATTGTGTCTTTGTGTTAATGGAACTGATTGGTAAAGTAGGGTGCATTCTAAAATCATTATACATTATTTTACTCTTAATTGAAAGAGTAAAAAGTATAATCAGTTTCAGTCTTTAAAAAAACTATAGTATCATTCTACATTTGGAAACTTTTGACATTTCATTGTTCCATTTGTTTTTACCCTTTTCCCATCATTTTGCTGTATGGTTCCATGTTTTTTTGTCACTGTATTCATAGTTGTTATGTGTTGTACATTAGAAGCATCCATTCTACACCAGTCCTGCTGTTTTCATGGCACACGGTGCGCAGCCCATCCCTGGTCTCATCAATTATTCCCATCATGCTACAGGCAGTACAGATGAACCGGTAAGACAAGAGGTTTTTGCATTAATTTTTCCAAGCATTCAGCTTACCGTCAATCTTTGGAAGTAGGCTTATAACATATTGTGAAAGATGTGTTTAATTCTGATAGCTCTTCAGCAGTGCTTTTTCATTTTATCTTTTATAGTTATAATACTGTGAGTCCTACTTGGATATATTTTATCATCAAATTTAATTTAGTAGAAATCCTTTGGTTTCTAAAAGTAAAATAGCTGAAACACCCTGCCTTTAGTCATTTCTCTCTCATAGTGACCCTCCATTGTGGTTCTGAGCCTGTAAATGTTGATGGAAGGAAACTGCCCATCTTGATCCTGGGGAGTCTCTGGTGATTTCAAGCCACTAGAGACAAGCATGAGCTACAAGATTTTGTAATTTGTCCATTATTCTTTCATCACATGACTTCTAAGAAGCTTACTGCTTAGAAGTTTTTATTTCCTTTCCCCTTTACCCAATTTCATCACATATCTTTAAATAAATTACCTGGCTTAATTAAGATAATCTCTTCAATTGATCACTTTATGCCTTGAAATCTAAACAGTTGTTGAAACTAATATTTAATTTATGTTAAGTGTTTTTCTTCATGATTTTTAAATCTCATTTTGTTTTCTGTCATTATATTCTTATTACAATGTTTTAGAGAATTGAATCTATGCAAAAAAATGTATAAGGATACATATTAGTTATTTCAATCATTGTTAAGATAATAATTCTCAAAATTCTGAGGTTAGAGAAGATCTTATTTGTAATATATATTATCCAAAACTCAAAATAATAATAATTTGGTCCATAACTACAAATATCTAATGCTTAATATATGTATTAAATTAAAAGATGAAGAGAAGAAAAAGTAGTAATAAAGGAAGTTTGCGTTGAAATAATTAATAGTTAGGTGCCATCAAGTTACGTATGTCTCATAGCGACCCTGTGAACAAAAGATCTGAACCCTGTTGAAATAATTAGCATGGAATAATGCCTATAATATAAAAAGAAATGAAAAACTCAGCATTAGTAAGTTCTTGGAAAATAAACAGCCAAGTAAAACTTACCCCTTGAATGCCTGATTGAAAGACAGTTAGGTTAGCTATAGATCAACAGACAATTTAAATCTTGATTAGTAAATCTTGATTACTTAGTAATGCGTTCTCTAGGAATATCTGTGTTTTAAACTATAAATATTACAGCATGAGCCACACTTAAATAGGACTGCCTTTTGTGTTCTTATCTAATCAACAGCTATAATCATTCTAAGTTTCAAAGTTAAGTAATACATAGTTTTTATATTTATAATGAATAATTATTCTGACCCTCAAGTGAATATACCTAAAATGATTTGACTCTAATTTCTTGCTGGTTCTTCAAAGGCTTAACATAATTAGTACTATTCTAGATACATAGGAGAAAAAATAATTAATTACATAAAATGAATGTTTTAAAATATTACCACTTTATGCTCTAGAGAAACTCATTGAGAAAGACTATTAACTCTTCTAATTGGATGTCTTTTTATAGCATTATGCAAGAACACACAGAAAGTTTTCTCATTTATTAATTGATATTTAAAAATCCATAATGAACACTGCTGTTTTCTTCTCCTTTATGTTGGTCATATTGATAGACATTGTGTTATGTTGTAAGTAAGTTTGTAAGTATGTTTTTATGCTCTTGAACAAATGATACTCAGAGCTGTACATCAGAATATATAATGATCTTATTTTCAGACATGTCAGACATAGCAAAGAAGAAACAGGTAACTGAAAATAATGAAAAAGCCAGGGCTCCAATATTCTTCATACTCCTTAAAAGCTATGTTGATTTTGTGAATATTTATCTAGTTGTTTTTATTAGCTGTTATCAAATTAGTTTTGATTTTTATCAACCTTATATACAACAGGAAAAAAAAATACTTCTTAGTCTTGTGCTCTTCTGAAAATCAGGGCTGATTTTGAATCTGTTGTTGAATCACTTTTTCAGTCCATCTGGTTGTGGCTTCTCCTTTTCCTCAGACCTCTCTTTTAAAATGTCCTTCTTCAAAATCCAATCCTTCTAATCATATACTTCATTAACAAGCTATATGGGCTCTGAATGACCCAGTTTGTTGCCACTGTTTCAAAAAGATCTCTATATGAGACCAAGCATTTGGATTATCTCTATTAGTTATTTTGAGATTTTACAAGTTTTACCGATGTAAAATTTTAAAATTCATTTAATAAACAGAAGACAATATTACTTACAGAAGGAAAAAAGAGACCAATTTCCCACTATTGGTCACATTCTAAAGCTTTGAAGAAATGTGGGATATTAATTAGAAGACCGATGTGTAACCTGTGTCCACTATTTAATTAAATTTGGGAAAAGTTACTTAAGATTTAAACTGCGTTTGCATGTTAATAGAATGGAACTAAAAGTAAATATCCTCAATGTCCCAACAGGTTATTACTTGCTAAAAATGAGACAATTGATAGGCTCCATATGTCAGAGAAGATGAGAATAGAGCAGGGTTCAGGTCAGCTGTTCATATGGTCACTATGAATTGTACTTGATTCAGCTGCACCTACCAACAACATGTGTGTGTGTGTGTGTGTGTGTGTGTGTGTGTGTGTATGCTGCTGTTGTTCTTGTTATTGTGTAGTCGAGCTGCCTGTGACTCATAACAACCTTATATACAACAGGTCTGAAACCTGCTTGTGCTGAGCCAGTCTCACTGACTCCAACACACCTACCTTCATTGCCCCAGTTCCTGTATCAATCCATCTTATCTGGACTCTTCCTCTCCTGTGCTGTTCTTCCACCCTTCCAAGCATGATGTCCTTCTCGAAGGACTTGTCCCTCCTGGCCACATGCGGGAAGTATGTAAGACAGAACTTCAAAATCTTGCCTCCAAGGAGAAATTTCGTTTCCAAGAAAGACCTGTTTGTTTTCTTGGAAGTCCATGGTAGTTTCAAGACTTCTCACCAACACCACAACTCAAATGTATCAGTTCTTCTTCTGTCACCCTTAGTCATTGTGCAGCTCTCTGATGCATAGCAAGTAATCGCATGAGACCAGGCAAAAGACCATAGCCTGGATCAGGTGCATGTTAGCCTCTATACTGATAGTGTTGCTTCTCAGTATTCTGCAGAGCAGATTTTATCTGACAGCAGATTTTCCCAGTGCAATTATCCTTTGATTTCCTCACTGCTGGTGCCAAGAATGATTGTGGAGCCGTGGAGCCCAACAAGATATAATTGTTAATAACCTTTATCCTTTCTCCATCTATCATTGTCCTGCTTCCTGGTCCAAGTATAGGTTTTGCATAAGCAAAATCAAGTATTCTGGAATTCCCATTATTCTCAGTGTTAGAGCCACTATTTATTGTGATCCACACAGTCAAATGCCTTTGCATAGTCAATGAAACACAGATAGACATTCCTCTCGTTCTTTTTGCTTTCAGCAGTATAGATGTATGTTATAATGTATTGTGAAGCCAGAAACTGCCTTCCATAGCTGACCTCCAGCAGGTTTTCAGAGGCAGTAAGGCTTAGAACTGTGTACCTTTGGATTGGCAATGCAACTCCTTACCACTAGACAATCTGATCTTGTGTGCGTGTGTTGTGCTATTGTTCTGTGCCTTTCAGTCAGAACTGGCCCATAGCTAAC